CGAATTTGGCTCTCCTCTGTTGATTTGCCTACTGGGGGGGTAAAAAATAAGGGGTTAAGGATCAGAAAGCACCAGGTTGGCAACGTTCAGATTTGAGAGCCCGAAAGCTATGGAAACGTTTTGAGAAACTGTCGTTGCATGGCTGTTTTGACAGTTCCATCATTTCTGTGAATAATTTCTGGTAACTCACATACGTTGTGATGCATCAATTTGATTAGAACTGCACGTTTGTGCCGTGGCTTTCAGTAGGGTCAACTTGTATCAATAAGCACACAACTTATTGTACTTTGGCAGCTGTTGATTGCGGCTCTCTCTTCCATTCATCATTTTGGTTGCTGGAACACGAGAAGATGCTCACGCAAGGGTTCGTATCAATGTGTACATGAGTTATAACAGGTCCTCATCCGCCAACCCCACATTATCCAAGACAAAGCAAAGCGCAAAAGTTTCAATCCGCTTTATTGAATCATGTAAAAATGTGAGACTGTGAGGCAGAATTGCGACAGTAAAAGAAAGCATGTAGAAAAAGTGCCCAATTATCAATAACTTCACAGAAGTCCGGAGCAAGAGCATCATGCGTAGGTTGAAGTTCTTGGCAACTAATGTGAACGATGTGAGCGAGGCCAGATGGGTATCTTCTCTGCAATCTATTCTGCTGTTCGAAATCAAGTAAAAGAACAAGAGAAAACTGGACTTGCTGTGAAGACCCCAAGCCTGACAAGAGTATAGTCATGTGCCTCTGGGCAGTGCCTTCAATGCGAGCTCTGTGAAATTAAACAAACTCTCACATGACCCCTGTCTAGTTCCGTCGTTATCTCTGCTATACAAGGTGTTCCAGTCAGACGCCATTTGCCAGGCTTGTCTTGTGCATCAGCAGCCTTCATAATACGAACACTCCAGTTACTGCGTATACGCCAGGGAGCGGGTCATAATGCTCCCTCAAACATTTTCACTGGCGGTACATCTTGAAAACTGGGCTGGGCCAGAAAAAGCCACTGGAATTAAAGAAAACGCGCTTTTGAATGACTTAAAAGCTCACACGAACTTGCCCCGGACAAGGAAAAAAAGGCTCACTCAACAAGCCTGCAGCGTCGCAATTCGAGGTCGTCACATAGGCCATCACACTTTCCTTACCTTCCCTCCTGGTTCTCAGTGCGCATTACAGTGACCGTTCCGCTGCGCTGAATCATTGAACCCATTACAGCTTCGCATCCTCATTCCGTGAGTAACAGCCAGCCCTGGCTGAGGCTGTAGGTGTGCACACACACTCAGAGAGTTTTGCCTCCTGTTCCCGCTGACAGCGAATCCGACAACTCACCTGATTTTTTTCCCTCATCCCCCGCGGGCCTTTCAAACCTCTGCACATCACGCTGCCGCTTCTAGAAGCTCATTTATTATGCATCCACCGCACATTTGTGGGTGGCACCAACTCTTCCCGTATGAAGCCGGTTTAAGCTCACCAACGTCGGAGGAAAGCCGACATGGACCTCCCTTCTATGCAGGGGGGATGAAAGCACACACTCCCATGCCTGCGAAGAATCCCACCGCAGACAGCGCTGGACAACGCTGTACAACCAGGCACGCTGTGCAGTAGCAGCTTTGACTGGAGGTCTGCAGTGCATGCATTAGCGGCGAAGTTGCTGCTTCTGCTGCAACAACAATAACAACTACAACCAAGGTAATGAATTCTCATCATGGGCGACGGATCCCCGGCTTCAACCGATGATTGGAGCTCGGAAACTGCAGTATTTCGTGCGAGCTGGCCACCGCTACGAAGGGAGTGAGCATATCCATTCTCATACACTTGGTGTGTGTGTGTGTGGATATTTTTGCTCGTGGAAATGTGGCCTGGTTTTGCATCAACGTGGGATGTGAAAGGGAAGCCTATAATGCATATTATGTGGGTGTTTTGGGAATGTTCTCAAGTGAAAAGATCATGGCAACCTCACTCTTGTACAAGATGTTACGTAGCTCTGAGGGTGTGGGGACCATACAGAACATTTTCTTTGCAACAAACAATTTTTGCAGTAAACCTTTCGTGAGATTTGAAAGACTTGGATTTTATATGGACCTTGTTGAGAGGTGTATGCACACGAATCATTTGGATTGAAAGGAATGTCATGGTTTTCAAAAGAAAAACTTCAAATGACCAGCACATGTAGAAACAAAATTGTCAATTGAAGAAATAGTACAAGAATATGTTTTTTTAAACAATTCACTAGAATAATTACAAATGTAAATGTAATTTTGTGTTTGTTATTGTGTAATTATTTTTTAAAATATGAACTAAATTATGGATTCAAAATTTTTGATACATCAACTGGGTTGTTTTATATAAAAATACAACCAATTGGTTTTCTATTTTATAAACCTATAATGTTTTTATTGTTGTTGTGTCCACAAAAGTGTGGAAAACCTTTTTTCAAGTAGCACTTTGAAGTATTATAAAATGATAAATAAATTGAAAAAATAAATAAATAACCGTTCAATATGTAGTGAACACAATTTTTTACATATTTAGATTCTTAATTTTAAACAATTTTCATATATCATTCTTTTTCAAAAGAGTATACATTTGACAAGGCTAACCTTGGTGTCATTGATTTTATCATCTCAAATTTTTGAGAATGAGGTGTTTTAAAAATTCAAGTAAAGAAGAGCTTGAAGAAACATTTATTACAAATACTTTGTAAAATTTAGATTAGTAAGGTTCTGTTTTGACAAACAAAAGATATAAAAAAATGAATCTCTTCAAATGACTAGTAAGACTGAATGGTTTACATTAACTAAGAAAAATATTTAAAATGATCATTCATACTATTTTACATGGTGTATATTTAAAAAATGAAATAAAACAATTTTTCATGTAAATATTATCCACAAAATGGTTGTAATTCAAACTATCTTCTATCAAACAGAATAATGGGTTGTTTACCAAGCTTAGGATATGATTTGTCAGGTTCTACTTTTGTACTTATCTCCATAAATGTACAAGAAACTCTTCATGCCAAAAAGATCTCTTTGATTTTCTTTAAATATATATTTTTCCTTTTCCTGTTCCAAAATCACAATAAAAAATACCGATTTTAATAGTTGTCAAAGGTCATAGTGACTACAAAAATCCAAAATCTGTAAGTAATAAATATGTCAAAATATGGAATACCTTTATCACTAATAGATATAATTTTGAAAATATTTTTATGTGTTCCTCTACATTAACACAACAAACAAATGGCAATGAATTTTTTATTTGTATAAAGTAATGACATGTTCAAAGGGAATTATGGCCTTTAAAAGCTGTAAAATACTTGATAACTGTGTAAATAAATTTTGATTTTTATTGTTTGTATAAAACCTTGCCGTGTATTAAAAATAAGAACTTTGCTGCAATGATTTGGAAGAACCATATCTACTTCATGATTTTGGAATTGTAAAAAAGAAAAAAATTTAGGATTACAGAGGCACTATTAGCAAATTTTACAACATCTAAAAACATAAATTGTAATTGATATATTTATAAATTTATATATATATATATATATATATATATATATAAACTGGCGGAAACTTGTGGCTTTGGGTTTAAAAAAGCCATAACATTTTAATTTGCGAAGTCAAAAATCATCAACTTCTAAAAAATATTCAAAGAAAAGAAAAAAGAAAAAAGAAAAACATCAAAATATGAATGGAACCAATTACGTTTTTTTTAACTAATTTAATAAAATTTTAGAATGAATTACATTTATTATGGTATTTTGGCTTTACTATTTTTGGATAAAGAATCTTGATTGTATTTGAATAAGTGCATTGTGAAATGGCAACATAAAGTTTCACATTATGAAAGGACAACATTTGTTTTTACATTGTGAAAGGGCAGCATATATTTTTACATTGTAAAAGGACAACATATGTTTTTGACCAATAAGAAGACTACTTTGTCTCAACCAATTAGCTAATGAGAATGCTTCTTTATCTCTTTGTTTTATAACTAAGCTCTATACGCTCCCAATTGATGTATTCAAACCCAGATAGCACCTCAATAAATAATCCTTTCAAATCTGCAATTCCGCTAAATCAACCATCTGTGGATTAAACAATACCAAAATCTCGCACTGCATCAAGGGATTTTATGATCGTCTTGAATGAAACCCAATGAAGTGGTGGGAATTTAATGTGAGGGAAGAAGTCTCCACACGATTCCTCGGGTAGAAACGTGGGAGTCAGACCCTGAGTTTCATCCATATACATTCATTTCCGAGCAACCGCGGTGTGCGAGGAGCGTCGCGTCACGTCGCGGCGGCGACGCGAGCACAGGCATTCGCGACGCGCGCGCGCGGAGGGGTTTGGCTCTCACGCGGGTCGCGTCGCGTCGCGTTTCACCAGTGTCATGGAATCCTGGCCTCCGGTACTGCAATCGGGAAGGGAATGATGGAGGGGGGGGGGTCACGTCACCAACCCACCACCGCCCGGGCCTTTCCCCCACTCGTCTCCTTCACCAAGGCGTTGCATTCTGTTGCCCTCCGGAGAATTATGGTTCCATTGATGGACCATCCCCTCGTCGCTGCTCCACCGGGGATATTTACTGCGAGTGGGTGGCTGGATTCATCCTCTGACTGGATTTTCATCGCACGTGACGTCACCGGTGGCCCGATTATCCAGCTTTTTCGATTCTCCATATATTCAAGGTGTATTACACTGTGGATTACATATCCATGATTCGGAGCGTGGAAATAAGGAAGGAGGAAGCATGCGGTTGTGCAGCGCACAATATTCTGTCTGAGAATTGATGTCACTTCTGTCGCTGTTGGAGAAGTTGGGAGAGGGTGGAGTAGTACTGGGGAGCAGGAGTACTAGCGGGGAAAGGGAGGTCGATGTTGCTACGAGAATAAGGAGGGCGGAGGAGTTGCATGGAGGGGATGTACAGTGAGAGGTTTTGGAAGATTGTGAGTGATCGAGTGGCCGGGGACGAACGGAAAGGGCTGGGTGGGAGGGGTTTATGAGGTGGGGGCGGGGGTCGTAGAAGCGATTGGCTAGGCTCTTGGTGTCTGTTGTTGGAGAATTAAAAACCGGGGTACACGCGAGCACCTGCCACTCTGGGGAGCCATTAATACAGTCCCCGCAGTTTTGGCGATCCTGCTCATGAACCTCACAATCACTGGCGTTCATCTGCAGGCTTTTTGCGGTTGCCTCAGCCCATCGTGACATGCACAAGTTCAACTGTCTCCCAGCTCCCTGTGGTTGCTTAATGCAAGGCTGAGTTCACGTCTTGCGACACTTCCTGCCCTGCCACCTCTTTCGGTTGGCGAGGAAGCCGAGACGAGCGTGACAGTCAGCGGGGAGAGGCTTTTCACTGTATCGCTGAGGCGGTTGTAGTATTGTCTGCGCATCATTTTGAGGGCGGGGGCGATATATCTAGGCCTTTTTCAAGTCTCGGCTTACTGCTGCATTGAAGAAGGGCGTGAGAAGATTAAGAGTGAGTGGGTGATCGGAAGTTTTCTCTGAGCTAGCGAGTTTGCCAGTTTGAAGTAGAACCCGAAAACATACGAGCGTTTAATTTGGCGCATTCGCCATAAATAGTATGCATTGGCGCTCGGGAAGTGTCCCCGCGGCATTTTTCGCGCACTGCAGGTTGTGTACTTTAGTGAGTCGGCGGAGCGTACGCTGAAGCGTTTGCAGATCTGCGAGGTATCGATTCGAAACATCAGGGAAGTTTGTATATATTTTCATTGCGAGGCGGTTCGTCGGCATGGAAGCAGCCACGGCCGTAAGGGTTGGTTCCGCCGCAGCTGCGTCTACTTCACACCCCTGCGTCTCCAAATGGTCGGGTCTCCATCGAGTTTGCACCGCTCGGCGGACTTGCCGAAGGTATTTTCGCGGGTCGATTTTGAAAGAAACGCTGTGCTGATAGTGCAGCTTTGTTGTTAAACTCTATTCGTCATTCTCACGGTCCTCTGTTATTGGGTTCGCGTTCAAATGACATTTCTTGCGTCCTCCTCTTGTAGGGATGGATTGAGTTGGCGAAGGGACTCCAACTCCCTTAGGATTTTCGCAAATGCAGTGGCGCGGGAGTTCACAAAAGTAAACGAGACTCGGTTGAATGGCGCGGCGAAAGTTGAAGGCAAGAAAATACCAGGAGGAACGCTTGAGGAGTTCGCCAATGGCCTCAATGTGGGTAGTCGCATGACTCACCCTGTTCACCACGAGAAGAATACTGCTACGTTGAGTACGTGGATTGCTGCCCTTGCAACTGCTGTCCTTGCAGTTGAGAAACAGAGAAGGATTTCAGATGCTGCCATGGCTCACAAGCTTGTGGCGCTGGATACCTTGCGTCGAGGAAAACTGGTAGAGAACGACCTCGTGTACCGGCAGACGTTTGTGATACGATCTTACGAGGCTGGGTTTGACAAGATTGCTTCAATCGAAACAATCGCTAATCTGTTTCAGGTATCTAATTCTCTGCCCTGCTTCACACGCCAAGGAGACCTCGACTTTGGAAATCCTCAGGACCAATGATTCGAATTTCTTTTGAAATTTCGAGGCAGACGCAGAGACCGAATGAAGCTGTAAATTTTCTGAAAGTTCTGGATTGATTTTGTCCTCCTTCCTGCCAACGTTCACATGCTGTTTTGTTCTCTGATTTTATTATAACATTCTGCCTTGTGCGTCAGGAAACGGCCTTGAACCACGTGGGTTTGTCGAAGTTTGTCGGAGATGGCATGGGCACTACGCACGCCATGATGCGCCATCGCTTGATCTGGGTCGTAACACGCATGCACGTTGAAGTTGACCGCTACCCTGTCTGGTAATCGACTGAATCATGGACCATGGACCCCTCCCTTGTCGACCAAAGGCATTGCATTTTAATGCATTAATTTGTTTATCGCCCGTCTTTTTTCGTAGTTGTGTTAACTTCTCTCTCGAGTTGTTTTTGCAGGGGGGATGTTGTGGAAATAGACTCATGGGTAGCAGCAGAGGGCAAAAATGGCATGAGACGCGATTTCATTGTCCGGGATTACACTTCTGGCGAGGTCATTGCAAGGGCTACCAGGTGTGTGTGTGTGTATGTGTGAATGTGATTGTTGGCTTATTTTACCAAACTCCTCAAGCACAGAATCGTAATCTACTGAATTAGTGCCCTTGGTGGTTTAATAATTTTGCAATGAAGTAAATCAGTTTTTTCTCCTCGTAAAGGAGAACGCAGTAGAGTCGAGTCTTACAGGTGCCAGTAATCGTTTCAAGTTTGTCATGATAAGCTGTGGCTGTCAATGCAGCACATGGGTGATGATGAATCAAGACACCAGGCGGCTGTCCAAGATGCCTCAAGAAGTGCTAGCAGAAATTTCTCCATACTTTTTGGACAAGCAATGTATAAAGAATAACAACTGCAATAAGATAAAAAAACTGAATGACGACGCGCCTTACATAAGATCCGACCTTGTGGTACATACACATCCCAAAGTTCTTTTCAATGCATCCTGCCGTCTGCTCTCCTTGACAAATAGAGAACATTCTCCAGTGTGAACGCTTACATTTTCCTTGCGTTTGATGTGCTTTGATCACCCGTGCCGAGCCATGGTGTGTGGAGCCGATGTATTAAAGATGTTTCAAAGAATCTAATTCTCGATTCCTGAGTTTCTCACGTATGACGTATTCGGTGAATTGCTGCAGCCTCGTTTGAGGGACATGGATATGAACCAGCACGTGAACAACGTCAAGTACATAAGCTGGGTAATTGAGGTAGGCGAGCTTCACTCATATAGAGTATATTTCTCGATCAAAACTGAATTCGGGAACATGCTATCATTTCTAGTCTTAAAATTGATGCATATTGTTGGCGATGTTATGATGCAGAGCATACCCCAATCACTACTTGTTGCCCATGAGCTTGCGAGCATGATCCTAGAGTACAGGCGTGAGTGTACCCCATCAGATGTGGTCCAATCCTTGTCATGCCCTGATACTCACCTCTCTTCTGGTTCCTTTAAGAACGAAAGCCCGTTAGCACACGGTGGTTTGGACGGCTCTCCAGACGCCGTTTCGTGCTCCTCCGGCGCTCTGAAAAATGCCACAATTAGTTCCAGCACAACGGGTCCTGTCGAATATACACACTTGCTGAGAATGCAATCATCTGGAGCCGATATTGTTCATGGGAAGACGAAGTGGAGAGTGAAAGACAGATATGTTGCAGCTGCTCACTAATTGAGAGCATTGACTGCTCATCATTTGGCTGAAGACAATCACATGAAGAGCTTCGTCTCTCTGCTGGTTTAAGCAGCTTCGGCTTGGAACGGGTGTCACTAAGTGTTCGTCACGTTACTTGACTATTTTTACGATACGGCCCCGCAAGTTACTCTTTCATAGCTCAGATGGAGCGTTGCTTCTTCTCCAAAGATGTGATCAATGTTAGTCTCTTTGTTGGATAGACTATGGCTTAAACTTTTCAGGCTAGGTAATATTCTTGGATTTGAGTCAATCCTCCTGGGCATTCGATGTAGACGTCGATTTTGGGGAAAATTGGCAGCAATCTTTGATTGCATTCGAAACATTTTTTTTATAACATTGGAAGTTCATGCCCCACCTTCTAATGTAGGTGGGGCATGAACTACCACAGCAATTTGGGATTTTTCGAGGAAGCCGACGTGCATTGATGCAGCTTCCAGTCTTTAGATGAAGACTGAACAATCGTCAGTGTTGCTGACGACTGAGAATAAATCTGCATCACACTGTTGTCCTTTGAAGTTATTATGTAGAACGTCATGATGAATTAGGTCAAGAAATAGGTCCATTGACTCTCCTCTTCTGGGCAGAGTAGAGAACAAGCACGATTTAGAGCTTGACCTCAACGTTTCTTGTTTTGATACCAGCTCTGTTAAAGACCTGCAAAACACGTGTGAGCCTTCATGCAACCGAAGAAGGTGGATACGCAATTAGCCAGTAGAGTAGCTGTGTGTTCTTTGAAAAATTCCATATCAACCAAGAAACGTCTCCATTTCTAGCTCAAATGTAAACAATTTCGCGCTTCGCAAATTTAATCAGATCCTCTGTCCTGAAATTTTGTCCGTGAGAATGCATGCCATGTCACGCCACCGAATCTGAGCTCGTTGGATGTCTTGTTAATCATACCAGACAGACTCGGGAGGAACTGCACCTTACTCTTCAATGTAGGAGATCATTACCAGTCCTGTGTCGAGTAACTTTTTTGGACCCTATTTGAATCTTGTCTCCACCTTGTATTGTATCTCTTGCACAGTTCAAGACATCATTCTAGTTTGTCCGCAATTCAGCAACAACCCTTTTGGCAATTGTTGAGGTGTCAGAAAACTAGCATCACAAGCGCAGCACGCTTTCATGTAAGTTCTTAAGAACATCAATTCCTGCACTGACATGGAGTTGTGGTCCACATGTTCCTCGTGGAACCTATCATGTTTCAAAACGCCATCTTCCATGTTTGGTGATACGGTGGTTGCTGAATTGGCAGCAACCATAGATTGCCCAGTCTAAAAGGACGGATAACTTCTGCGAGGAAAATTTCTTTATTTAATGCTTCCAACCGGAAAAAAACTTACACTGATGTTTCCCTGATGCTTATTAGTTTTTAGAATCATTTTGTCTAGTTTCTTTTGTTGTTATATACTTGTCTGTATTTACAAGAATATTTAATAGCTTGCAAGGCCACACGCTCCGAAACATGGGATCAATTGCGGTGATTTGCAGATGGACATCACTGCATGCATCGGAAATTATGCAAGTGTAGACTGGTTCCAACTTCTGCCAAGTTTTGTGCAGATTTGTGAACTCAAGCTGAGCTTGTTCAATGCATTTGGCTGTTGTGATGTAAACCTTCCTGTTAAATCTGAACTTTAAAATCTTAAAATCTAGGGTAAAGTCCATGATTACTTTCGAACAATCTATTTTGTAATTTTCATTGTTATAACTTTGATGTATTTTTAGTATACATACATACATACATACATACATACATACACAAATGTGTGACTATGTAATTATTTTGAAAAAGTTAAAACAATCATTATGTGAATTCAATGCAAAACTTGAAGATACGGATGCTATTGTTGAGCCTTGGCTGAATTGGGATATTGTTGATGTGGAAAAAACAAGTTTTATTTATTCATTTTATTTTTCCAGAAAAAGTAAAATTCTGCACAAAAGCAATGCAAATTATTTTTATTATTTTTTGTGTGAGCTTGATATTTTATTAGATAAAATTTGGTACACATAACAAAACTTAATATGTTCACTGGTTAATTTTTGTATTTGTTGTAAACAATTCCAAAATTATCTTTATTTATTCTAATTTCTGAATTTTCTACCTATCATACTTTGATAAGTTTTAATTTATTTAGTTTATTTTCATAAAATCATGGATCTGTTGTCCCTGTACTTTTTGTTATATTAACTTCATTGACTCATAAAAAAAACACCTAAGTTACATCTAGAAGAGGAAAATAGATAAAAGTTAAAAAGAAAAGAAATAAATAATTCTTAATAAAATTCAAATAAAAATTTTAAATCAAGAAAGTGAAATGAAGGATACAGACTTATTTTGGTTAAATTGAAATTAAAATAATTGTTCTTTAACGGCATAATTTTAATTTTGATTTATTTATTTTAGATGTAACTAAGATTCATTGATATTATATAATAGAAATCAATTTTTTATTATATAGTATTTATGCTTTAATAAAAAATTTATTTTATATTTGATTCTTGAATTTTTAAACCATTACAAATAAAAATAGAAAACAAACAAAAAAAAAAATTATTAATCCACTATATGATCATTTTTATTTTTTTTCCTAACATGTTTTTAAATATATAAATTCTATTATATTGTCTAAAAAATATATAACATTGATAAAACTAATTATATATTTTTTTCTATGTATATTACTATATTAATTGTATTTATTCAAGAAAATTGATAATATTAATTAGTAGGTGTAATTCTATTCTATACTTCTTTAGCAATAACTATTATATTTTTAAATTTATTTTTTTATAAAACGTATTCTATAAATATTAATTTAAATTTATATATTTATATACTTAATCTATTTTTAAAAAATAACTTATTGCTAAAAATAATTATACTATTTCTATTATCTTTAGATAATCATTATTCTATTTAGTGACAATATTGTCTTAATCTCAACTTTGATGTGCTTATGTATATTTCTAAAACTTATGTATTATAAATTTTAGAATATTACTTATGCAAATCTTGCAATGTAATGATGGATTTAAGTTAATATCTAATTTCAATTAATTTAGATCTATATTACAATATCATTCTAATTATATAAGCATATATTCTTTTTTTTCTAATCTTTAGTTTTTACCATACATATTTCTCTTTGAAGTTATTTTATACTCAAATTTATCTTTCCATTTAAAAAGTGTTAATTTCTATGGTAGATAAGAGCTATTAAAAAATATTGTTTCTTAGAGAAATTTCTATCATAAGACCATGTCTTAAGTTCCATCTATGTATTAGGTTTGAAATATAACTTTGCAATTGTACCATGTAACTTTTTAACAAATATCTTATATTTTTTATTTTTAGTCTTTTAGAAAAAGTATTACTTTTGCAACTTTTCTAATCTGTAAAGATTAGAATACTTATTAATTTCTAAAGTACAAGTTTAGATGTTCTAAGATGTCATAAGAATTCTTTAATCATGCATAATATTGTAGACTTCTAAACTTTAAACTGTTTAATATCTTATAATAAAACATAGGAAATTTGAAAAATAAGTAAGACAATATTTTTGTCTAAGATTGCTCTAACTTAGTCTAAATCCAAGTCTTTAGATTTGATTTGTGATTTAAAAATAAAAATAAAAATAAAATTTAGAAACAACACATCTTTTGTATTCGATTTAAATATTAAATCTATACTAAATGAGATTTTTGATATTTAAATTATTGAGGTGTAATATCATAATAATCCATTATAATGACAGATTTTTCAAAACCTCTTTAAGGACTATTAATCTTAAATCTTCTTTTCAATTTTGTTTGCAATATAGTCTCTAAGCCACTTTAGTACAAGTTGTTTAGCAGATGCTCTTTTGTTTATATTTTAATGTTTAAATCAGTCATAGATATTAAATCTATATAGACGTAAAAAAATATGTTGAGAATAATAAATAAAAAAAAATCTTACAATAATTATCTTCTTATCTATGTTAAGTTTGAATAAACACATATTATAAAATATCTTCTTTAAATGATTTATAAAGAATGGGTGTTGCAATTGCTACCTGATTTTTGCAAGATTTTTGCAAGTGTCACCACAATTTTCCATCTACCACAAGTCACCATGGTTTTTGCTGGTGCCACCACAAGCTACCCTAAACTTGATATGAACACCATTCTATATTTTTCTCAACCACCAGAGTTGTTGCCAAAGCTGTCTTATTTCCTCTTAATTACTTCATGACTAAATTCTCACTCCCACTTCTTCCACCAAGCAATGAACACATCCTCTGCACCACCCTCCCACCTCATCTGCACACCACCTGCTCTCCCTCCTCATCTTCCTCAATCAGCATGATTATTAAAAGCCGGGATTAATGAGATCGGGAACTGCATCGATGGTCCTTCCGACGAACCCAGCGAGTGAGCCACTTAGAGAGCCAGCGATTGCAATATATGAGAATTGAATATCCAATCCATGAAAACAAGTTGCCAAAAGCATAGACAGACAGACAGACAGACAGCGAGCAGGTGTGGCGGTAGGATTTCGCCACTACGTATGCTGCATGTGTGATGCAAGCAGGGACGATGTATTATTCAACCAGTTTTCTACTGAAGGGGGTTCCTGCAGTGGTTCCTCGAAGGCGAGACATGATCTTCGCAGCCCCCTTGTGCATACCCACCTGAGCACCCTCACCGCAGCACCCGACTCATCGGTCAAAGCTTGGGGAAAGTGAGCCTACCACTACACGTCTGGGGACGACGACCTTATCAGATGATTGAGACAAATCGCCGCTGCAACGTGGTCGCCTGGTTGCGCTTCCAGTCCCCATCGCAGTGGTTTGTTGTGACTGGCGCAAGGAGGTGATGCTAATCCCCGCGGTTAGATAGTCGACGCGCATTGACTACACGACATGGTGATCGGTATTAACGCAGCGTGGTCTGCTGGTCGTCGTCGCTCAAGTTAGATGGTTTGAGACGAGGAGGAGAAGCCTCTGAGTTGCTGCGACGAGGGGCGAGTGGGAGTGTTACGGGGAGAATTGCAGGGATTGCATGAGGAGTGAGGAACGTGATGAGGTGATGAGAAGGGAGGGTGGTGCCGAGTACGTTTTCATGGAGTAAATAAGAGCAATAAGAGTATTTAAGACAGGATAAATTGAGAGCAAATAAGTCAGCTTTGGCAACAATGCTGGTGGTTGAGAAAAGTGTTGGGTGGTGTGCAACTCAAGTTTAGGGCACTTGTGGTAGCATAAGCAAAAACAATGGCGGTATTTGGTGGATGGCAAGTTGGGGTGAAATTAGCAAAAGTTGATGTGGCAATAGTAACATTTTCAATAATTGATGATACACAACAATAATATAAAAAAAATTCATAAGGAGTTTAATTGTTTTACTTTCACTAGGTCGTATCTTTTTTTTTTTTTTTTTTTTTTTTTTTTTTTCTAATGTAATCTCACTTTCCTTCTAATTTTCTTTTTTTTATAAATTAATTATTAATCTATATGCAAGATTAAATTAATATATAATTTTTATTGTATTATGTAAATTCCATTTATCTCTTCTAAATAAAAATAATGATTTGTATGTTAGTTTAGTGTTTATTGAATATTATTCTTAAAAAATTAAATTTGATATATTTAATTTAGGATATTCTTGATGCCACAACAAGTTTTGCTTCTACTACTACTAAAACTTATTATTCCTTTGACATATTATTGTTATTTTTATTATTATATTTTTAATAAAATATTATATTATTATTTCTAATATATATATATATAATTAATTTATAAAAATTAATTTTAGTTATAATTTTTATTTTTATTTTTAAAATAAGAAAAAGATGTGGTGAAACTACCAAAAATTGTAGTAGTATTAGCAACACCCTTACTTTATTTCATTTTATTTTATTTTTTAATTTACTAAAATTTTAAAAATCACTATAAATTATAAATATATAACTAGATGGCAATTTTCTCATATCTCTATTGATTTGGAGAGACTTAGTTATAATGTCTTTAATACTTATGGTTGTTGTAGTCTTTTTAAATAGAATGCCAACTATGCTAAATTATGGATAGAAATTATTTTTTTCATAAATAATGACATGAAGAAAAATTGGGTCTCTAGAAAAAAATGAATCTAGCTAAAAAATAAAAGTGTATTTTATATATAAGCATTTTTTTTTGATAATAATACAAAATATTTTATAAATATTATGCATTTTTTCTATATTAAATTAATTCTTTCTGATAGTTTTCCAAAAACATTTAAAACTTTTCTCCACTTATTTTATTTAGAACGATTTACATGTTATTAATCATATCTTTTATTTTTTTAATATTTAAATATGTAATTTTTTATTTATATTATGTACTTTTTGTTTTAAGATTATTAAACCTGAATTTATCTTGTTTTTAAATTTAAAATAATCTACCTTCATATTGATTTGTAATTTTAATGGCTTCTATAAATCATCTTGGAGATCTACAAAATTTAAAATTAAATATTTAAAATATTTCCTCTATTTCATTTAGATTTTAGTTTTATTTTTTATTTTTTTGGAGGTCTTAATTATGTATGATAGAATATCTTTGTATAGCACTACTAAAGAATTGTTTTGATTATTTTTTTAAGTACAGCTAGTATCTAATTATATACCACAATCTTTTGCTCTCTTCGTATTTTTATTAAATTTTAGTATTTTTAATATATATGAATATATATAATTATTTATTTAATTTGAATGAATATTTTCTTTATATTTTATATTATATTAAAATTTAAATTATATTTATTTTGAAATTTCTCTATTTATTATTTTTTCTTTATTTTTTATTTTTTGTCTAAAATTTAATTTAGTAATATTACAGAACTTATTCTATGCAAAATTATTTATAGGACTAAATAATCAATTGAGTTTGTTCTATTATATATATATAGATTAAGGAATTATGATTTTTATGCATAATTTATATGGTAGTATTCTTGAAAGAATGTTTAAATCATCTTAATAAAAAAAAGTCGAAGTTACAAAAATATTCCATTAGTAGGTTACAAAAAAATAAATTTAAAAACATCTTATCTAATATTGTTTTGTCTTTTATAAGATAGTGTTTATACTCATCAAAATTTGTCAATTTTGGCAAGAATTTTGGTCTTTTTATTTAAAAGCTATTGTTATTTCTACCTACGGTTTTGCTATTCCTACCCAATTTTGCCAAGTGGTTTGCTTTTTTTTTTTTATTTTTATTTTTATTTTTATTATTGTGCCATCCAATGTGACTTACAAACCCTCTATTGTTAGCTTACCACAATGTCGGCATCACTCATAGGCTTTGTGCAACATTTTTTCTTCTAATGCTTGTTGTCTCCACAACTACCACACTTGTGAGTATTCATAAAAACTAAATATTAAATAGTAGGGAGTAGGTGAGAGAAGGCAAGGTTAGGGCTTGCAAGATCACATGGCATAATTGGATGGAAATAGTAAAAACCATAGGTAGAAACAACAATGGTCTGTATATATTGTCTTGTAAAAACTTCAAGTATTTGTAACTTGTTTAATAATCTTATTATCTAACACAAGATGTTCATAGCTTCTATATATATATATATATATATATATATATATTTCTTATTAATATCTTTTTATAGATTAAAGATTTTTCAACCTTATATTTTATCATATTCTATTTATCTCAAAATATCTATAGAATTATTATTATCAAGACATTAATAAAATTTATCCATTAATGAATTTTTAAAATAAACATTAGATGCATTTGTATTAGCAACTACTAATTTGTCACCAAAAATGCCCTTAATTTTTATCTACAATATTCCACTTGTTATTTAATATTTTAAATTATTATAATATATAGTTTCAGATTTTTTAAAGTTTTTAGATAGAGACTTAATTTGGTGTTGCTTCTAAATTATTTGACAAGCTTTGTTTTTTACCATTATAATATTATCACAATCAATTTGTTGTGTTTAATCATTTAAATGATTTTGATTTTTTGGATCCACTTTGGTTACTGTGTGATTATTATAAAAGTTCTATAGTGAAGTTAGAAAGAACATTATTTAACTTCAAAATTTATATTTAATAATTCTGATATTTAATTTATAAGTTGTAATTAATTAAGTTTTTCTTTTATCCTTTCTTTTCTTGTAATAGAATTAACAACTTTAAATAATGCATTTTATTTTAAAAAAATTAATTCAAACATAAAACCTTGAATTAAGTTATTTAATATTATGTTCATCTTTCTGAACAATACACTCAAGTTATTAGCAATCTATTTTCTTAAAAATCTAAATTCCTCTCATAAGTTTTTAAATATTATCAATATAAGTTTTTCAATCTATTTTTTTTTATTTATAGTTAAAACTATTAGATCAAATAAGTATCATACAAATCCTACAATCAATTTAAAAATATTGAGTAGTTAAAAAGTCTTTATCTATTTATAGATTATTTGATTTAATGCAGTAATAACTTCTACTAAATAATCTATTTTAGATAGTAGAATAGCCAATCTTTCTTTGAAGTTGAATAAACTATTGCCCAACATCAAGTTTAAAGGTTTTTAAAGGTTTTTCATCCACAAATCTAGCAACAATTACGAATTGGCCTAAATACTCCAATTCTTGTTTTAAAATATCTTCATACTCTTCTCTTAAACAATTAATATCATAAACTTTCAAAACTTTCAAAACTCTAATGAATATCCAAAATAAAACACTTCATAAAGATTTTTCTTGTGGGGTCAATATTTTTGGAGTAATCCTCTATATTTTGGTAGTACATTATGGTCTCTTTAACATATAATATTTTGTTAAATCTGCCCTCCATACTTCTACATATAATTCCCAAAAAATCACGTGCATTACTTGATTTAGAATTATTGTTTGCAATTGCCATAATCTTAAGTCGGTAGGAGCTTGCCAAACCCCATACTTACTTTGCCCAACTCCTATAGTCCACCTAATCATCAAAAGAAGGTTTCAAACTAATGTTCATGATTAAATCCTAATTTCCATAAGACCCTAATCTGAGTCAAGGTCAGTCAAATTACAGTGAAGCTACTTGTGAAAACAATCAAGCGCTGAAGATTAGCAGCGATAGAATCAACGATCTAGAAACCAAGCGAGCAAAGATGTCGTGAGGTCTAAGAGAGTAAACCCTAAAAGTGTGGCCTTTCCGCCACTGTCCTCCATCCTCCACGGCGGAACACGCCGTTCGAATTCTCGCCCTCACCAAGCATGGTTTTTAACTTCATGAAAACACAGTTGATGGAGGGGGGCGCAGATTCAACCCTTGCCTGAAACCTAATACTCCTGTTCATGAAGCAGGCCTTTGGTGTCGTAGATGGATATGAGGAGTTTCATAATGGAAGAGGAGGGCTCGGCCGTCTCGTCGAAGACCTGCAGCGGCGTAGCCGTTCACCTAGTATTTCCCACTTCGAGCACGCAAACATGAGGCAAAGCTCACACGCTGGGGGACCCATTTGTGAGATCCCCTCGAATCGTGCCTCCAACAGCACGTACCGCTAGATCAGTACCTCTGAGTTTGTGGCTCACATGAACTTGCTGACGTGGTCCTGACGCGAAAATCGGCTCAAGCACTCCACAACTTGTGGCTCAAGTTCGGCGCTGGGATTCATCCCGAAACGACCATCCTGGTGCCACTTGGACAGCATTGATGATGTGCCAATCAGTGCTTATCAGGTGACCACAGCTGCAACTTGCGATGCGCCGCCTTGTCGCGGTTCTGCTGCTCAACATGGTTCCAGATGAGCCATCTGGGTGCCCATCGATAGCGGAATCGCATCCTATCGGCACGATCGGAGCTTGTGACTACAGTCAAGGCAGGAAGTCGTCACTAGGTGCGCGGGAACATGGATTCGGACCACGACCAGGCCACGCGCATGTGGTTGATATGGCTTGATGACAGTCACCAGTTTGGGTTCCAGGGGGTGGGTTCCTTCCGCTTGCAGATTAGGATTCGGTGGGGTTCAGTTCGGTTTTGGATTGTCGTCGATTGAGGTCGAGCAGTTTTGGGAGCATCTTGTGGGTCTGAGAAGCAAGGGGAATTTGGATGTGTGAGAACGGACAAGAGTAGAATTCGCAAAGGTTTGATTTGGGAATCAGACTGAATCGGAGTTTGGGTGGAGAGCCAATGAGGGGCTGCCGTAGTTTCGTGGTGACCGAGTGTATGGCTGATGCGAAGTAGTCCGCGCTGATTGTTTCGTGCCCAGATGCAAGGTGCGCAGCTGATCGACCTTGTCATGTTGAAACTTTGCAGTAGGAGCTGTGTGGGCCTTGAGCTGAGTTCACGCATTTAATGTGCTTATCAGTGGGGTTGGGCGACGTTGGAACAGGTTTGAAAATGTGAAGATTCTCTGGTTTGCATTACAATATTGGAAGCCACCGGCTAAAGAAGAACCAGGGTTTGGGTGGTCAAGTCGAGTTTTTCAAGTTTCTTGAGAAGTATACAAGCTTCTGGGACAGGATTTAGGGACATTCAGTAACTGAGACTGAACGCTCCGCATGAGCTCATTGAAGTACGATTGATCAGGTTTCGGTGGAACGGAATGAATGGAGATCCACTCCACACTCCTTTGACCGAATAGGTTTCTGTGGAGGTGTTGCGTGAACGGATCGCAGGTGATGACTTGCATCTGCGGTGCATGGTTGTAGATACTGTAGTTGCCGCACGCCGAGGTCTAGGGAAATAAAACTTGGAACGCAGGGGTTGTCCGAAAGTCGGTCGCAAATCTGCCAGAGTTAAGAAGCTGCTCTCTTTTCCGGGTCTCCAATTGCACAGGGTTTGCGTTTGGATAGGATGTCCTAGGATTTGGCATGCAGCGTAGTTGACGCCGTTGCTGGAAGGAAGAGGCCATGGCGTCATCGGTCGGAATTAGTGTTTCTTCCTCACTTGGAGTTTTGAAGGAGGAGGCTCGGACGGTGCGATGGGCTTCCGAAGATCACATCCGTGAGCCTCTCGATGTTGCAAAGGTATCTGCCGATGTAGATAAAGATTTTCAGTGTCCGATTTGTCTGCAGACAATAGAAGATGCGTTTTTAACCAGCTGTGGTCACTTTTTTTGTTACTCGTGTATCACAACGCATTTGGACATCAGAAGCAACTGCCCTAGCTGCGCTCGGTATCTTACCTCAGAGCAGCTCATCCCTAACTTTCTCTTCTCTAAGGTGAAACTTCTAAACCTTTTATATTTTCACTAGGGATTGCGCGAAGTCAATACATTGCAAGTTCTAACAGCTGAGGGCCTTCTCAATGTTGCTGATGGGTTGTTCATCTCACTTCATGTGACAATTTCGCAATGAGGTTGCCAGTATTTGTGAGCATTATCGCATGAGATCCATATGAACTAGCACTTTCTTGACATTAAATCACAGGAGTCTAGACTTGCTGGTGTGCACTGGATCTCGGGTGAATCATATGAGCCTTGATTTGTAGGAATTTTGTCATGGTTGCTTTCGAGGACATGCTCATGATTTAGGTTGCGAAAGTGTCAGTCGAGCGATTTTTAATTGCAACGTCACTTCCTACATGTCACAGAGAGTGTGTTATTCGTAAAATCATTGGAGATAGATTAAGGATGATGTTGCATTCTTACAGTCCATGTTGCATATTTTCTGCAGCTGATGAAGAAGACGGCAGCCTCGCAGCTCCTCGACAGCACCTCTTCGGCAGAGCAATTGCGCCTTGCACTTCAGCAGGTGATGCGTTAACTTTTGATCTACTTTCAAAATGTCACCGGCGGATTAGTTGTGACGTAGTAAGATGTGATGCTGTGCCTGTGCCCCAGCTGATCTCCTGACGTCTCAAGTTCTGATAATACACTTTGCAGGGAGCGGATTTGCCCATGAAGGACTTAAATTCCTTGCTGCGGCTTATAGGTGAAAGGAAACGTATACATGAACAAGAGGAAGCCGAGTGCAACATGGAGATTCTACTTGATTTTCTGCACCTATCCCATCATCGAAAACAGGAGGAAATGCAAGAGGTGAAAATTTCAGTTCAAGCTAAACAAGCTGGCGTTAAGTTGTGTATAGTAGAACTGGAGCTCCTAGGTAACGAAAATATTGCTAATCATTGTAATAACGTATCCGTCCTTGTAATAAAAGAGCAAGTGAGTGTCCTTGTCTTAATTAAGAGTGGTATGTTGTTGCTCCAAGAATGTATAGATTCATCGAGGTGCGCGTCAAAGCATAACGGAGAATTAAATGCTTTTGAAGAGTTTTCAGAAGAGTTTCGTCCAGTTGGGCTGAAACTAGATGGGTGTTTTTCTTTCAACAGATACAAGGCGATCTTCAGTTTCTCAAAGAAGACATAGCCATGGTGGAGAGTCGGCGGCAAGAGATATTAAGTGCAAAGAAAAAGTTCATTAAACGATCACACTTACTAACGTACTCACCACCGCCTAGCTTAGATACCCACTCCGGATATGAGAAGTTAAGTGATGGGGGTGCATTATCTACTTGGCGAAGTGGATTAGATGGTGCTTCTTCTCCACCTAGTGAAAGTAAATTTACAGCAGGGAATATGACTGGGAGTCTAGCATGTCCTATGGTTACGAAGGATGGGGGTATGAAAGGAAAATTACTCGAGAATCCTTTTACAGAATCGTTTGATGGATCAACGGGTGTTCAGACCTTAAACAAGAAACGCCGGGTGTTGGCACAGGTTTGTATTCCTAATTGAAAGAACATGCTATGCTTTATTCTTTGCCAAACGATTCACTTTTGTGTTGAATGATGACAGTTTGTTGCCCGATGGCTTAGAAGATCCCATTGTGTTACCCCTTGCTCAATTCTCTATTTCCATTTGTCGAGCTACGGTAAGGACATTTAGTGTCCGTTAACAGAAATATGAACATTGACATAATAACATGGCCTGCTTATGCAGTTCGAGGATTTGCAAGAAGCCTATTTGGTGCGCAGGAGGCAAGTTGCTCTTAATCAAAGGTGCAGACAGATGCAGGAGTCAGGCACGAATTCGACACTCAAAGGTGTGAAGAGCTATCAGGATGGGTTAGAAGAATTTGAGTCTGTACTGACGGCATTTTCACGTTACAGGTGTGAGACCTTTTTAAAATTATATTGTCAAAAATAATGCATACCAATTGATTATTTATCTACTCTGCTATAAATTCATTTTCCTCATTATACATCTCACATTATCTTGCATTCATTTTGGGTAACATTTACGAAAGATATCTTTTGCCCTCATTGTCAATGATATCAGAACTATGTAAAACTTAGGATCATAGAGCCTGTTCTTTGCTCCAGTCTAATTTTAACTTTGACTCTTGTTGATGAACAGTCGTCTCCGTGTAGTTGCTGAGCTTCACCGTGGAGATTTATTTCATAATTCAAATATTGTATCTAGGTGAGATATCTTGTAGTCATGCTTCTTTCACCCTGGGTGTCGGACACTTCAGATGTCAACAGTAGCTCTCTAATAGTAGGTGCATGCATTTCGAAGTATTCTCCAGCATACACCTACTATTAACTAACTCTAGTGGAGGTTTTAAGGTTGAGATACTTTAATTCACTTGTCAAAATCAGTATGAGATGAGAATGACATGAATGTTATGGTTTTCTCCTTACGAAGACAAAAATTGCATTATTGATAAAAAGCGGTGAGAGGTTATTTGCGAAAGTGAATTCAAATTGCTTACTTTACTCTTCATCTGCAGTATTGAGTTTGATCGGGATGATGAATTCTTTGCGACAGCGGGTGTATCTCGGCGCATCAAAATATTCGACTTTGCAACGGTATTTTAGAGTGAATTACTTTTACTTTCTTCATGTATATTTGTTTCTGGTCACTAACACTTAGTATAACGATTGAGTTAACACTGGGATGATTTGGATGGAACAGGTTATAAATGAGTTAACAGATGTTCATTGTCCAGTGGTGGAGATACCCACACGATCTAAAATGAGCTGCTTAAGCTGGAACAAGTGCCTGAAACCTCTTATAGCCAGCAGCGATTACGAAGGCATTGTTACAGTATGGGATGTAAATACAAGGCAGGTATGGGAAGAACAGGGTCTTTGATACGAATGTATCTTAGTTTATGTTGCTAGTAATGTGTAATTTTTTGTGTCCTGAACTTGGATTGGAATAGGGTATTGATTGACTGAATATGCGTTGTACATGCAAAACTACTTCGATACAAGATGAGGGGGAGCAATCCTAGAGAAAAATTAGTACGTGAGTAAGGTTTACTTGTGTTACTTATGTTATCTTCCTAAGTAATTTGTTTCGTGCAGAGTGTGATGGAATATGAGGAACATGAAAAGCGTGCTTGGAGCATCGATTTTTCTCGTACAGATCCATCAATGCTGGTTTCTGGAAGTGACGATGGAAAGGTGCAGCCTTAGTTAAGCCCTTAGCTGTGATGAACCATAGAGGTTTAATGCTGTAGTATACTTTATAAACTTTTGGGCTGGTTACCGACTCTGCAATAATGGGATTACTGCGTTGACACATTGCAGATGAAGGTGTGGTGTACAAGGCAAGAGAGTAGCGCACTCAGCTTGGATATGAAGGCCAACATTTGCTGCGTCAAGTATAACCCTGGCTCCAGTAACCACATTGCAGTAAGTGTTGGTTATGATTTGTAATATATATAAACCATTGCTTGTGCTCTCTCGCGCTCTCTCTCTCTCTCTCTCGCTCTCTATCTTCATTATTTATGAGATGTTCGAAGTCTTTATGTGTAGTGATTCTAATTCTGTCAAACTCTTGATTGACAGGTCGGCTCCGCTGACCACCAAATTCATTATTTCGATTTACGGAACGTAAGGAAACCACTTAATGTATTCAAGGGACATCGAAAGGCCGTGTCTTATGTAAAGTTTATATCACCAACTGAGTTAGCTTCGGCATCTACAGACAGTACACTTCGACTTTGGGATGTTCAGAGGGATAGTTCGGTATGTGATACTGGTTTTCTTCATTTAAATCCCTTAGAGCAGTATTTTTGTTTGATTTACTCACAACCATGTGGCTGCACGCCGAATGATGCGAAAAGTTTCTGCAAAGTGAATATTCACTGAGTATTTTCAGTACCTGAAGTCGATGCGGTGTTTTTTGCCGCAGATACGGACTCTTAGAGGACATACAAACGAGAAGAACTTCGTGGGGCTGACCGTCAATAACGAATATATTGCTTGCGGCAGTGAATCAAATGAGGTTGTCGTGTATCATAAGGTAATATGCTGGCTTTACTTACACTTCAGTTGCCTTGATTGTAGCATCTTTGGTCAGAATATCCATCAATTTATCAACCTGCTTTTTTTTGAGCATACATGTACCTCTTTCTGCGCATTGAACCTGCTCTCTTTCATTATTAGGTTTCACGATTCTGAGACCGTTTTTTTTGCATTTTGGCAGGCAATTCCGAGACCAGCTGCATGCCATGGATTTGGATCCCAGAATCCTGAAGGTAGCGATGATGATGGTTCACACTTTATTAGTGCAGTGTGTTGGAAGAGTGAAGGTCCAACAATGTTAGCTGCTAACTCGCAAGGCACTGTTAAAGTTCTCGTGTTGGCTCCTTGAATCCCAGAATTTGTCCTGTGTGACTGGCTATTCGCTCTCTCATTTCACTGTCCAATGCACAAATTTTGCGGATTTTAAGTTTTTGAAAAACATCATTACCCTTGAATGGCATTAGATAGCTCAAACTTTAAACATGTGTTATAAAGGAGTTCAATAGTACTTAGTTTTTTCCATACTGTAATTGTTATATTAGATTTATAATTGGAGCTACTGGTTCCAAAGTATGAAATAGTATCATAATTCTGAATCAATTTATACTTGGAGCCGGAAACTGGAAAACTCCCCTTGCTTAGCATTTTTTTAGAATGTACGCAGAGCTACCTCTGCTCAAACCTCGTAAAGTGGATCACAACTGGGCAAATGATAAGTCGCGTTGCAAAAGGCACTGTTTCCGTTTGTTCGATTACCCGGTGATTTACAACCGATATAATACACTGGCAGCAGGAAAATAGCTTACTACGAGGGGAGGCCTTAGCCTGGAAACGTAAAAGCTTGCTCTAGACGCCGCTCTCAACCCAGCCGAGCATCTGAACCATTTCAGGAGACGCTTGGAAATACGCCGCTCCTTGTGCAGCTCCCCAGGAGTGATACCAGTGGAGATTGGCCGCTGATCACCGGCCATCAATGCTAACTCCAAAGCCTAGAGTTCTCACTCACAGAAAACCTTCAAGGATGGAAGACTTAAGAGAGAGAACCCAGAGAACAAAGCTACAAGCTTCAGATTGCCACATGTTGCAAACTTATTACTGTGCAAGTGGAACCAATCGAGCGACAAAGATGAACAACGTTGCGAGAAGAGAACCACGTAATTGAGACTCATGTACAGACCTTCATTCCAGCTTGCACAGAATACCAGTGAAGACGTTGAATTCGGCACAAGGGGCTATTCTAGGATGGGCTGTCATAGCAACCGAGAATTCACAATAGCACAATTAGTGAATTACTTGAGCTCCTTGGGCTTCACATCCTAGAAGATGCGGCGATTGGGAACCCAACAGTCGTTGCAAAGGTTTGCATCCTATTCAGTTTGTTTACCAATGAAATACTAGCACAGTTTTGTATGGGATTCCACACATGATCCATGCTCAACAGAAGAACTTTCATCACGATTTCTAGAATATTATGCGATGATCTTACGAAATTTAATTAAATGTGTAGATTTATTATTTAATTTATTTTTTTCAAATGTGACATTTTTTTCAAATTTTTATTCTATATATATTTTTATAAAATAAATGAGGGGCACTTTAGAGGACAAGGTGAGGGTTTATTATTTGTAGATGTTTTGAATTCAAGAAGCCTCTTTGAGTTGGTTTTGTACAAAGAAAAATAAGTCCAAAAGCCATTAGAGGAAAAAAGGAGGTAGAATGCACTTTTTTCCAACATGGCATGGACACTGCTATCTGTTGGAAATTTCTATTGAATTCATCTCAAAAAGGTGGTTAAAAAGAAATTGAGAAACCATGTCAAAAAATGCATAAATAACCACTATAAAATTAAAAAATCAAGTTTTATTTTTTATTTTTTATTTTTTTTATACTTCTCATAATTGTTTGAATCAAGAGATAGGTTGACATATTTAAACTTGTAATAAAAAAAAGGATGATTTTGTCTATTTCATAACCTCTTCTCACTTTACATTATATCCAAAAAGAATAAGGTTTCCAAAGGATTGAATATTTTTTCTATTTTTAAAAAATTAAATAGCATAGTCCAACAAAACATAGCAATATCAATCAGAAATGAAAAAAATAATGCCACTTCAAAAAATTCAACACTGAAAAATATCAAGTCACATTATTATTACTGGTCAACACTACATGTGGCAACCCAAATTTTTTTACCAATGTTTCCAAATCATTCTTTAAAAGTCTTCATAAACATGCATTTTATCAATCTTTTATGTAAACACTACAAGCCATCAACCCAATTTTGAACCCCATTTTGAAGTCCCATTTATCCACTTCAACGGAAGTGCATGACAGTAACTCCCGTCCCTTGGAAGTCGAAGCTCTCATCGAGCACTGTGGTACCCAAAATAAGTAAAATTGTGCAACGGTCGATCTCAAACAATGGAACATGAGCTTGACCATGTTTCCAATTCACACACCATCAATGGCAAGGTGACTGATTAGTTCAGATAACAGCCATCAAAAGCTGAGAAGATCCCGAGTGGTAAAGTCTTTGAAGGGCTGCAACAACGTTGGTTACTGATAATGATATGAAGTATTGAAGGTGGATGATGCTCCATTTGGATCTCAATCCGTTTCAGGAGTCTCTGAGTTACGAGAGCACATCTTGAGTTGCCAACCCAACGATTAGCATTCTGTCGACTTCCGGTTCTGACATCCTCAATCTGGTCACAACCAAAGACAATGCATGTGTGAGCTCAGAATCTACTCAACACAATCATCTCAAGAGTTGGAACATAAGAAGCCTTAGAGAAAGGAATCAGCACTGCCTTGAAGTTGGACTAGCAGTTACCTTGTCTTCTTGAGCTTGCGCTCTCAGTTTCTTCAGTGATTCTGTCCAGCGTGCTACCTGTTATTTGCACCGCCTATTCATGCCCAAAACCAGGTATTGAGTTCTGAACAACTGGGGAGCCCCTGGCCATGTCAAAGTAATGACAGCTTCCTTGGGCTCCTGCCGATGTTACTAAGTATTTCGAATTGGAGTATTTTAGGTTTTTGGAGTGGCAGAGGCTTGTTTCATTGCCAGATGTGGTTCGTGCACTTCGTGCACTTGAGATGTGTGGTGCTAGTGAGAATATTGGCGGATTTTGCCGTGGACAGAAGTTAGGGTTTCACCTTGACAGGCTTCGTTTGTGTACTAATCTGTCCAGCATGCATGTCGCGCTGGTCTTCTTCCAAGTTTTTGAAGAGATTGCGCCGTGAGTCATCTGCACTCCTGCTGGTAGCGCATGCGCGCTGAGCCGTCTTCTGATCTTCCTCCTCTTCCTTCGTCAAGGCTTTCTGTAGAACCAATCAGCATCTCTTGAACAGTGAGTCAGGTTCATGGCACTCTCTGCCCCGAAATTGGATTTAGGGTTTGATTTTGCAATGCAGGGGAGATTCTAAACCTGGATACGTTTTCTTCGATTGTCCTCCTTTTGGATGAGTTTCAGCAACCACTCCTCCTCTGCCTTCCTCTGCTTGGCCAGCCTCGCTCTTTGCTCCTCCTCTACCTTCCGGAAGGCCTGCTTACTGGTGGGTCCATTAGGCACCACTTTTTTTACCTCAGCCTCCTTGCTTGCAACCCCATTTGCCACTGCCCTCTTCACCTCGATCTCTCTGATCGTTGCACCAGTCCCTTTCTTGTCTGCCATCTATGGTCCAATATGCTCAAGTCAATGTGATGTTCCCCTTCAACGTTTGCCTCCGCGGCATATTTCCTGCTCACTTTCTGCTCATTCCCATAATGCATACAGCCCACGAAATGAGGTGGAAAGAATAAGAGAATCAGAAAACCGTAGAGAATGAAGGTAGGCCTAAGTTTTCTTTCTTTATTTCTTTATTTTCACTTACTTAATTTGAAAACAAAGTTCAATTCCTGTTTTCCCGATTCTACGCACCCAATAATACCAAGCACCAGAAGATTGGTGCAACATACGCTTTTGGTGACTTGGCGTTGTGGAGATGGCGAAGGATGGGATTGGCATGAGCGGCAGGTAGTGAAAAATTCCCCACATATCACATCAAATTCTGTTTGAGACCCACTGAATACTATTTGGGGCTGAACAGGTAGGACGGTTCAGATCTTCCATGCTTCATCACAATCGGGCGCTCAACCCACCCAGGCTCTCTCTCTCACTTTTCTCACTTACCCACCTTGGAAGGGGCTCCTGCTCTTGGCTACATGGTGAATAGCACCAGGCCCATCTGTGAAACCAACCCACTTGCGGACACCAAATGGCACGCTAGAGGCAGACAAATGTGTCAAAAGAGAGCATCAAATGTGTTATTGTCTGTTGTCCAAAAGTTTGTCGAAGACAAAAACGTGCTCTTCTTGTGACATAGAAGACTTTAAAATAATGTCGAAATACTGTAAACCATGTCATCCCCTGAACCAACCCATAGACCTTACTTAAACCACCCTTGCGCAAAACCACCCGTTTTTCTTGTGAAAGATTTTAAATACACTCCAAATACATTCCAAACCCACCTATGATCAACAAACTTTATAAGGATGAAAGGTGCAGTTTAGTGTGATTTAGCATTTATGTCCAAATGTTACTTAGATTTAATTGACATTACCATGGTTCACAACAACATTCATGGCTAAAGTAGATTATTTGTTAGATTGATACTTGGTAATTTTTAAATATTCACTTTAAAGACAATATTATGATATTTATAAAAATAAATTTTATTATGTCAAAGTATCATAGATATATTTATTTCAATATTTATTTAGGTAATCTAAATAGGTAGAAATATATAGAACTAGATAAATTTGATACTAAATTGCACCTTTCATTCTTATAAAGTTTGTTGATCATAGGTGGGTTTGGAATGTATTTGGAGTGTATTTAAAATCTTTCACAAGAAAAACGGGTGGTTTTGCGCAAGGGTGGTTTAAGTAAGGTCTATGGGTTGGTTCAAGGGGATGACATGGTTTATAATATCTTGTAAAGAAGCATCATAGATTTTCTTTTATATGTGTTTATAGGTGTTTGATAGGTTGAAAATTTAATCAACAAGTCAACCAAATGTTGCTTATGTTGGCCACTTATAGTACAAGTTGGATATGTAGTACACATAGAAGGAACTTGCTTTAGAAATTAGACATGTGTCTTACAAGTTGAATACATGGAGGTCACATAGAACATTGCCACATAGCTTCTAGTTAGATAATATATATAGAAGCCATAGTAAGACCTTCCTTATTCTTATCAATTCCTTTCTTGCTTCAAGTCTAGTTTCAAGAGTCTTTAGTTTTTTAGTCCTTGACAATAACTATTATAGTTTTTTTTTTTTTTTTTTTTTTTTTTTTTTAAAAGGAATACACTTTATTGTGTAAAATAACACAAGAATAGTAATCACTAATTAATCTTACAAAAACTTATATTTATTTGATTTAAGATGAATCATTTTAAAATGCTTCATCATATAATTCAAACTTATTTCATATTAGGATTAAATAAGAAAAACTACTTCTAAAGTCAACCACAAAAAATTAATTCAATAGCAAATGTATCTACAAACGAAGAATTTGAGCAATTCCAAATGTTTTTTATATATTAATTTACTAGAATTTTCCAAAGACAATGAATTCAAGTAATGATACATTACCTCTATACAATTTATCACATAAATATTAAAAATACTAAATAAAGATTATAACTATAGTGTTTATGCAACATTCCAATCTAAAAAATTGACATTGTCCAAAATTCTTATTTATCACTTACAATATAATTCTTTTTTTTTTATTTTTAAATCTTATAATATATATTTAAAAATAAAACTTATTTATGATTCCAAAGATGACATTTATCTACAATATTGGATTTGAAATGTATACACAACACATCAAAAACCACCTATACAACCACAATACTACAATTGTATAAAATTGAGAATTTGGGCAACAAAAAAGACCTTGGGTGGAGCAGATAAATATTTTTTCTCACTACATTTCTAGGACTTCTTTACAAAACAGAACTGGACAGTGCTAGGATTGGTATGTGAATCATGCAAATATTGTTCTGATTAGAATCAAAGAATAAACGACGTTAACTGAAGGAGCAGAAAGGAGCACTATACCAAGAAGATGGAATAGTTATAATCTTGTAACTTAAGATTTGAAACCCTTGGACTGCACGTAAACCAGCAAAGAAAGTTACTGTCTTTCAAAATGGAAAAGAATGTTGGTTATCTTGAGACATAAGGGCAGCAGCAGAACCATTTCTTGCGGTTAAAATAAACTTCTGGGTTAACGATTCTGGTGGTTGGTAGTAAAAATCAAAAAGTATTTGCGTAGCTGCAAATAATAGTTCATCTGGTGATGTTGGCGTGTGTGTGTGTGTATATCTGTAGTAGAGAGAGAGAGAGGAAGATAGATATTAACTGCCGACATGTTCATTTCAGAATTTAGGCAGCACAGAACTTGGTCAGTGCAGAATTTTACCACTCACTGCACTAAGAGAGGTCATTTAAATGTGCATCTTAGTATGTTGAATTGTAAATTGTCGATCCATTTCAGAAAAAAATGATTCATTACCTTCCACACGAGGGTGTTCCCTCAGAATTTGTCTTACGGGCTTGGCTTGAGGAAGCTTTTCAACAAAACTGAGAAAGGTGATACGGCAGAAGGAGTCCATCTCACTCAGAGTGTACTTTCAGGGGTGTAAACGTGCATGCAGACTTTATTCAGAAATTAAAAGAAATCTGCTGCCAATGAGCATGACCTACTATCCCACTTCTACTCCTGCAGTTGGTGCATCCGGCTTATGCAAGCACTAACTGTTATGAAGCAAATTTCGCTTCAATCCTCCAGATAGCAACACACTAACTACATTTCCGTGACAACCAGACAGCTTCTAAACACTTTCCACCAATGTTGATGCCCGTCCGTCCTCTGCTGCTTCCAGTCAACTCAGTTTGAGCTATACAATAAAACATGACTGCGTTGAAACATCGGCACAGAGTTAACGCCATGCGAAATTAAGAGTAACGGAAAACAATAATAAACAAATGAAAAGTAACACAAATAAAAAACATGAATAGTGAAGAGGAAGAAGAATGGACCTTTTGAAAATAGGCTTGCCTAATGGTTTTGATCAACAGTTGTACTCTGTGGTTTTGCGTCTGGATTGATGGGTTTATCAAATCCTGGCATCAACTTACTGCCCTGCGGTAATCACAAGGTTTGTTGTCTAGTAAATGCCGAGTCAATTTGGCAGCATTACATTGCCTACTCAAATACGTAATATGACCAAACGTTTCTAATGAGTGCAGGCAACATAGATACGAGGAATCATAAAACATAATTACGTAATCATTTGTCAAACTTCTTCATCGGAGTCTGCAACACTTTGCCATAATCAACAATGGCAAAAGTGTACAGTGAAGAAACACTGAATCATGTGATATTTGAACCTTAGACAGGCAGTGATCTCACAGGAAAAAATAGCAAATGCACTGTCATGTTCTTTTGAAGTTAATTTTAATCATAGTTTGTTCACCTATAAAAAATACTTAGCTTATAATCACATGTGAGAGAGGTTATAAGTAACCATGACATAAATATGAGAAGCCAGGTCAGCAACATGCATCAGTGCACCAGCTACACATTCTGTTCTAGGAGATAAACTGGAAGAAAGACCACTTAGGTTCCAGCAGCTCAAGCCAGTGTAAAATGGACAGAATTGACGACAACATCTAATTACATAAAGTTCAAATTCTAAACCCACCTGAAGGCCTTCAGGCTCCTCCGATACCTCGGCCACTTTCTTCTTTGTAATCTCCTTAGGCTCCGCGATATGTATATCACCGGCACGTCTGTCGTCAGGGGCATTCCCTCGCGTTGCAGGGTCATTTTCAGCGCCTTTTACCGGCCCCACTCCCCGAGCTGCGTCCACATTGCTGTATCTCACAGCGCCTACGGCTTGCCTCGGCATTAAAGAAAAAACTCTGCCCCAGGTTGTGCAAACTCTAATTACGACCCCTGCCATAGCTGCAAAGCCCTAAAACTCCAATTGAAGCGTATCTGCACTCACCGAACAGCACACCAACCTCAAAATCTCACCATTTCATCCAACATAGTCTCATAAGGATTCTTCCTCTACATCAATCTTGGTCAAGAATCACAGTCATATTTCCCCGCACAATGCCATCTGCATAAAAGCTATTCCACATCCAAGATACAAGACACTGCGCTGCTCGCGAAGTGGATAGATCCATAACCGCGAAAGCAATTTCTGCCACGGAAATCCACCCACAGCATGCACAAAAGAACGTGCTCAAATTCACCACATACCGCTGGTCACCACACACACCCAGCTCCGACTAGCTCAACTTGCAGATGAGAAAACCGACTTGTAAGTCTGCGAAACGCCGAGATTTGTTCCGAAATTGTGCGCGATGCGATTAGGAAGGCGTGGTGTGAAACTCAACTGCTAGAAAAGTGGAAGAGGATTCAGGGCAGGAACGTTGATTGAATGGGCAGAGACGGAGAGACTTCAGAAAGTGGTCCCGGAGAACGGCACCGACGAAAAGCGGCGACACTTGGCGAGTGAGTTGTCACCCACGTGGACTACGCCAAGTGGCGGTAGGACAAGAGCTTCAGCTGAGGTGGCAAGCGTGGAGGAACCTCGTGCCGTTAAGAACAGCCACGTGTGAACCTCTATTTCTCACACTGAATTAGTAGTATATGGTTAAGCTTGTACACAATTCTTTCTTCATTATATTATGAGAAATTCAATATCATGCATCCATATTTGCCTTTGGGTTGAGTATTTTGGAATAGGTTTATTTCAAAATAAAGATATATATATATATATTGAGTGTTGTCACTTCCATGTCATATCACACAGTTAGAATGCATTGTTTTTTTGGAAAGTAGATATAAATTTTTTTAGTCTGATGCCTGATTCACCCTTGCACAGGGTTTACTCCTGCTGTTCCAAAAGAATCAAAATAAAATAAAAACAGGAGACTCTATTAACTCAATTTATTAAAAAAAGAAAAAACAGACTGTGTGTGTGTGTGTGAATATATATAAACATATAAAAGGATTACCAAATAGAACGGAGGACACAATTCTGTTATTATATAGATATATGCACATGATTGCCTTGATTGCAAACCTTAAATATGGATTTTATTTATTGAAGTTGCGTGAGTTGCTTTTGAAACTCCAATCGGTTTGGTCCCTGTGTTATGTAGAATAAACATTTCAAAATGTTATGGTCGCGTACATACATATATACATACAATGAAAGTTTATGATGATAATATTTCAGAATTCTTCAAGATTCAAAAATGTTAGTTGAATGGTTGTATTATTTGTGATAAATAAGGATAACTGTAAGCATTCTCTTTCCAACATTAACGAGTAATTTTTTGTAGTGACGTATTGTAAAACATTTGAATTACCAAGATTAACAGTGCAGGACAGCCAGCCTGGAATTCCTAAATTTATATATATCTTTTAACAGCTTCTGCTATGGCAAACATCATCAATTTTGAAAAATTTAAACAATCCAAACAATAGTATGTGTTGGAATTTATTTCCTTGTATAAACATTCCATGGTTTTTACAGCATAATCAAAGTTTTAAAAATATCCAAGTACCCTTAGATAGATGATTTAAATTAATCCATGGAATATCTACATGTCGACTGGCTGTTAATTAAAAATATAAGTGGATGATCATTCAAGCACAAACATGCTATTTAAGTCATAATTTTTTATCACATGTTTTGAATTTTGAGTTGTTGTTTCAAATAATTCAAATTTAAACTTTACATTGAAGAAAGAAAGAAAGAAAGAAGTCATAACACGGGTTAATTTGGTTGTGTGTGACTCGAAAGACCTGACAATTAAGGCTTATAATCAGTATATCTCTATCCACTTGTACACGTCAATTAATGAAAAATAGGTTGAATAAATTCAGAAAAAAACAACTAGGAATATGCATGTGTGTGAAATGAAGTATATGAAGAAGTAAGAAAAGTCAACTTCATTGGTTCTCGAGTTTTCAGTTTTAAATGATGTAGCATTTCAATTAGAATGAATAAATAAATAAATAATTGAATCTTAGATGATACATGTAATCTTAGAAATGTGACCATTTTTAACACATCCAGTAATACTTGTTTACTGCATTCATAAACTTCAAACATAATAAGATTGTTTTTTAAAAGCATAAATTAAATTAAACTTTAAACATGCTACAATAACACTTGGATATAAATATATATATATATATATATACTTATTTTCCAAATCTATTTCTCCTTCTCTTGATGGATATGGTACTGCAACATATTGAACGGGTCAGAATGATTTTGATCTTCAAGAAAGTAAGAATCATTGTGGAGAAAATGTTATGTAATTTCAATATTAAATTTGAAAGATGGGCATTCCAATTGCAAGCCAAACCAGTGTTGTGGTGTCTTAATATGGTTGAGCCTCTTTATCTCTGGATTGTGACAGTAATGAATTTGACACATGACGATTTTAAAGGGCAATTCCTGAATCTGAGTTAATTACCAAGTGGAAATTCTGAGATATAAAGTTTATCTAGACTTGGGTCAGTTGCAGCAGGTCCAATGAATCGAAGAGCTAACTTCATTTAAATTTTCAACACTAACAAGGAGTCAACTGGATATTGGTGGTAGTGCTACGATCCTTTTCAAATTTCGTATGCTTTTCCGACTGGGTGTAGCCGGTCTTCCTGTTCGGCTGTGGTCGTGCTAAGTTGAGGGGGGGGGGGGGTTTGAGGTCAAGCTAAAGCGCATGCAATCCCTCGGAGGTCTGCTTGCCTTTGACCGATCGCTGAGCCCACAAACAACGATCGCATCGGAGCCTCATTGTTTCGTTTTTTCTGTTAGTGATCATCGTCGGTTGAGAATCATTATGGGAGCATAAAGTATTTTTGGTTATTTACTTGTTTTTATCGATTTCTTTAGTGCAAATGCGCGCCAGGATCCACGTGCTCGTGAGCAACCATTCCTTCTCTCACTGAGTGTGGGCCAGACTTTGCACGTCGCCTTGCAAAGACCAGCCCACACGTCGGTTGGCAATAGAGACCACTGTCTCGGGAAGTCTGGAGACCCCGAAACACAGATCTGTCCGTAGTCCTTCGTTGAGTGTGACACTGACGACGACGGTTTGGTTTGAAGAGGATCTCGAAACAATTGTGGGTTTTGTTTTTCCATCCACGTCCGTTGAAGTCATTTTTTTTCTCTTTTTTCTTTGTATCTTTGAAGTGGACCCTATTTTGAGATTTGGATACTGTTAGCATTGCGTTGTACTATTTCCGGGGTTTAAATGTGGATGGTTGTGAAAAGATCTGAGCTGGTGAGCCCAGGTCGAATGCTCTACCGCTCCGTTTCTCTGTCTCTCTCTCGTACAGCTTTCCGAAGATGGAAGTTTTTATCACTTTTTAGCGCAGCTTTCTACTCTCTCTTATTCCTCTGAGCAAATATTGTCGATCTGCGATTCGTGTCGAAGCATATTTTGTCCCTCCAGGCGTTTTGTTCGGTCGTCTGGGTTCTGCTTCCTCGACAACCATCCCAGGAATCCAACCCAGCCCACTAGTGTAGCTCTTTCGATTGTGATCTGGTTTTGCCACAGAGAGCGATGCTGATGAAGCTTCCATCGCAAGTATCCTGTTAAGCATGCTGTTCACTCTCGGGTCTCATTGTTCTCACGAGAGCTGATTTATTCGAACGATTCCTATGGGTTTCTGTGCATGGTTGAATTGTTCTCATACCAAACTATCTGTTTGGTTCACAGGTTGTATTCTAATTTCCAGTGTTTCAAACAATCATTGCCACCCCATGCACTGAAGTGTCAATCCCCACTGGAAGGTTAGGCATGCTCCCGCGGCCTGGAGGTGACGAACTCATGGTTGGCTGGAGAAAAATAGTTTTGTAGCTTGCTGGATATCATCAAGGTTGCAGGATGTGGCGCTTCTCCCAATCAGCTCAAGTGGTGCACATTCACAAGAACGAGTTTGAATTCCTTATCAATACTAGAGTGTTTCACATCCTCAACGCCGCAGATGAAATCCCAATATTTACAACCGCTCTGCTCATCTGCTGAACCAAGTCGATTTTACTTCAGAAGTGAGGTGTAGTGGGAATCACGACTGAGATGAGGGGTCTCGAGTGGTGGAATAATGGGGCTACTCGTACTCTGCTGATGGTGAATCTGGCCGCCATCATGGAGCGAGCAGATGAATCATTGCTTCCTGGAGTGTACAGGGAGATAGGGTTAGAGCTCCATGCCTCCCCCGCCAAGCTTGGATCTTTGACTTTGGTGAGATCTCTGATGCAAGCTATTTTTGCGCCGCTGGCGGCCTACGCATCATTGAACCACAACAGGAAGAACGTGATTGCGCTCGGGGCAGTGTTGTGGGCCGTGGCTACATTTTTTGTCGGCATTTCTGCTTCATTCACGCAGGTTCCTAGCTTTGCCCATCTACATGAAATGATATCGTAGTGGCAGCAACATCTCAAGTTTTGTTGTTAGCTATTGCAAGCTTAATTAGCAGCGGAATTAGAGTACCGCTTGTCCCTAATTCGCACACAGAAATTTGCGTTTCCATCTGTTGTGAGCGGTTGGATCACCAGGATACGAAATCATTTTCAAGAGAAGAGAATTGTACATGCTAAAATTAATCTCCCCATTGCGACCACATGGCGGTTTCGCCTGAATAGCTCTTAGTCGCACGCTGAGCTAGAATTGGACTCAATCTGATGAACTGAGCCAGTTTCTTGATTCTTGGTTTTGCGGATTTCAGTTGATAAGTAACTTGTACTTAAGATAAGAAAAGCCGGTGCTCAATGATTACAGATTGCAATCTCTCGGGCTCTGAACGGTATTGGATTAGCGATGGTGGTGCCTGCAATACAGTCCCTGGTTGCAGACTCAACGGTAGAGCATCAGAGAGGTGTAGCGTTCGGGTGGCTCCAATTGACAGGCAACATTGGATCCATCATGGGGGGGTTTTTATCTGTGATTTTAGCTGGGCATGTCTTTTATGGCTACCCAGGATGGCGGTTGTCTTTCCATCTTGTGGCAGTCGTTAGCATTGTAGTTTCAGTCATGGTCTACTATTTCGCAGTTGATCCAAGATTTTCCGGAAGACATCCTTCATCTCAGTAAGTAATGGAGTCTATCATGTGCATTTTAAGGGTCGAATTCTAATGGGGTATTATCATCAAGCAAACTACTGGTCTCCAATTTCATATTCGCCGAATCATGAGCACTATTGATTGACCTTCGACTTTTTAGGAGGTGGTCAAAACAATTTAATCCCAGCGCGCTTTCTATATGTATAGTTATCCTTTGTATTATTCATATTATTCTAAAAAGCCAAGGTTGCTTTGAAAACTTTATCGTGTTAACATCTGTGCATTGTCGTGCTTCTTATTCTAGGAAGCAAGGGTTATGGAGCGGTCTGAAAGCAATGCTGGTAGAGGCAAAGCACGTTTGTCAGATTCGCACTTTCCAGATATTTGTGGCGCAAGGGTTAGCGGGAAATTTCCCATGGGCGGCATTAGCCTTCGCACCATTGTGGCTTGAACTGATCGGATTCTCACATGAAACCACTGCGGTGCTTCTGGCTGTTTTTTCTGTGGCCAACTCTCTGGGTGGTCTTTTCGGTGGCAAAATGGGGGACATTCTGTCCCTGCGCATGCCAAACGCAGGTCGAATCATGCTGTCTCAGATCAGCTCTGGCCTTGGCGTGCCTCTGGCTGGCATCCTTCTGCTGGTGATGCCCATCGACTCGTCCACACCTGTGTGGCACGGTATCATGCTTTTTATTCTGGGCTTTTCCATGTCCTGGAATGGCGCTGCCACAAACAAGTAAGTTTCGTTACATATCATCTACTGGTTTGCCTCAGAGTGCTCTGACTATTCTAACTCCGAATCATGGTATTTATTGACAGTTTTTTTCTACTTTTGCATTGTTTGTTGCGTGTAGTAACAAATTTAGTACGAAGCATACGATTTGGAGACTGATTGCTTGTGATGTGATTGGGTGTGAGCCAGCCCTATTTTTGCAGAGATTGTTCCGCCGAATGCACGGACAAGCATCTACGCATTGGACCGGTCCTTTGAAACCTTGTTATCTTCCTTTGCCCCACCTGTGGTCGGCATTCTTGCAGAGAAGGTTTATGGGTACATTCCACCGCAGACTGGAATCTCCCAGACTGCCGAGTCTAAGATTGATAGAGAGAATGCCAAGTCACTTGCCAAGGCTTTGTATACTGCCATGGGCGCCCCCCTCACTATCTGCTGCCTTATCTACACATTGTTGTACTGGACTTATCCACAGGACCGAGACCGAGCTCGTGCATTAGTGCTTGCTGATGCCCAGCTCGGCACATCTTATGACTTCGAGAAGTTTAGCTTGGAAGAGGAGAATGAACTTGAGATTATCGACGTGTATGGTGAGCACGCCGATGATTCTGACTTCGAGTCGGACGACCTTAACAATAGTAAGAAGTTCACCGAAACCCAGTGGATGTTGGATCAGAAACACAAATCAGACGAGCCTGTGTAGGTTGTTGCTGAATGCAGCTTTATTTGAACTATTGTTCTTGTTGCTTTTGCAAATCTTCCAGGCTACTGGTAGTAGTGTGGATATCATAGTGAAGCGGTTGGAGGAGTTTATATAGAAGGCTCAGTTGCGCGTCCTGTGCATCAGTAGGAATCAGTTGCAGCAAACTTTATCAATATAGATGTGATTGGTATATATGCTTGGAGTTCTGCTTCATATGGTAGCAGAAGTTTTTCACTTGATCAACTGCTCACTTTCACAATATTCCACTCTGATCTTCCATGCTGATCACCTTCCCATCGTGATCTTTAGTCTATCCTGTCTCCAATGGTACACTGAAATGAAATGCCATGAAATTTATGGCTGTTACTGGAACAACACAATTTTTATGCCTCTAAATTAAAAGTGTGACATCACCTATTGTATACTCTTAAATTTCTTTCCTGTTGTTTTGTAACAATAAAATGGCCAGGTGCATTCTTTTGGGACTGGGATGTTAAGTGGATACACACTACTATTGGGTCCATTTGGTGCCTTTACAAAATTTCATAGAAAATAATGAAACAGCTTTCTAAAACAACATGTTTTGTTTTAGTGAGTAACTGTTACAAAAGTGAAATGGTTTGAAAAATGTGTTTTGAAAAAAGTTCCTTCCAAAATTTGATCCATGTTAATACTGTTGGTCTTGTTGATAGAGATGTTGAAGTTGGGAATGTTCTCAAAGAGTATGCAGATATTACGTGGAGAAACAGTAATCTACATTAATTGTAGATTTTTTTATTACTTTATTTATTTATATTAAAGTATACCTTAAAGTAAGGCTTAGAATATGTAGCGCCTTGATTTTAAAAAAAAAGAAATGAGAATGCTTATTGTGTGTACAACTCTAGAATGAAATATGTGTGTGAATATATATATATATATATATATATATATAGTGTTATCTTTAATAATTAATCCTCCATAAACTAATAACTTCTAATGATTAATCAAAATTTGGAAATTGACTCCATTCTATGATGCATAATTAATATAGGGCATGTGACATGCAAGGTTATATGGCTTATATGTTATTGGGCATGAACAAGGCCATGCAAGATAGAAACAAACTATCTATCTGCACTTCAACTCATTGCTTCTAATAAGCAATGCTTTGAGCATTTTTTTTTTTTTTTTTTTTTTTATTATTATTATTATTGTAAATTTTACTCCTATTATATTCTAAAAATGTTTTAGAAGTAATGAGGTGGTGTTGTTAATATTAAAGCTTTGATGTTCGTGACTTTTTGACACTTGCTAGACATAAATAATAGTCTTCTGGATCTTAACTAATAATAATTAATATTGATAATTAAGCACTTTGAGTTTATTATTAAAACTGCTATGAAATTTTCAAGATTGAAGAAAAATATTATTTTTTATGTTTTAAAATGACAAATTTATGTATATAACATACAATTGATATATATTTTTAAATATTACATAAAAAATTACATATTTTTAATATTTGACTAAAATAAATAATTAAACATACGCATATATCTATATATATTAAAAATTGCAAAATTGATATGGATTGATTTAAAAGACCCTATTTTTAAATTTTAATTTATCAATGAAATGGAAACAAATGTGATTTCTTGAATTAAAATAGTTATAGTCTTTTGAAGCTTGTATTTGAGATATTTATCCTTAAATAAAAAAAACTTATAGTATACAATAACATGCTTAAAAATATACTTTAAAAAAAATGCAAGCTTAATTGTGGAATCTTAGCAAAGATCTTTGTGAAAATTTCTAAAAGTTTGAAGATAAATTGATATATATATATATATATATATATATCTCAATATATATCAACATATTTATTTTTTCTAATTTTAACTTAATTTAAAGAACATTGAAGATGAAAAGTCTAAAACATTATGATTATTATTATTATTATTTTAAAAATCTAATTCATCAAAATAAAATTGCTCAAAAAATCATTAGTTAAAAATATTAGTAATTGGTCTTTGGTAACAATTAAATAGTCCAATTTTTTATATTTCCTTAGATAATACATGGTAGTAATACGATTCTATTTTTTTTAATTCTTTTAATAAACTATGTTTTTTTTAGAATGCACTTGTTTCTGGTTTTTTATGTTATATTCTATGAATCTATTAAAAAATCAATTAACTGTACAGTTTTTGAAGATTATATTGTAATTTTAAAAAATATTAAAATAAAGGCTCCTATGCAGTATATATTCACCTTTATTTTTTCTTTTTATTTTTTTAACCTAATTTATTTATTTAGCTTCTTATTTAATACAAGTCTATTTTTATAGATTATATTAGATTTATATTAGATTTTTCTTTGAGATAATAAAATAAATTTAAAGAATAAAATCTAATAGTATAAAATATCTCCAAGCTAAAGTTAATCTAATATTTTTTTTATATGGTAATGGAATAGGTTAGTTTTTTTTTATAATCTATATAAAAATAAGTGTCAATTAATAAAAATCACAATTAATACTTTTAAGAAGTATTTTAAACTTAAACATTTAGCTTCTTTTAAATTCTATATATATATATATATATATATATCTTTTGCAACTTTGTTTTGTAGATAGTTATAATAAAAATTATTTGAAAAAAATAAATTAATGTATGGTGTTTCACATTACAAAGACAACTTAGATTTAATATTGGAATATATTTATATTTGAATAAATAATTTTTATTCTGAATAATATCAATGACTTAATTAATTTTGTTAATAAAGAAAGAAAATTCTTATAAAGTCACCTTATAATGTTGTTTTTTCAACATAAATTTGATTTTATGACCTCATATCTCAAAATGAGAGATTCTTATTATTTTTATGCTGAAGAAATATAATACATTAATTGATTTAAAAATTGTTAATACATCTTTTAAATTAATAATATTAAATTTCTTGTTAATTTGTGTTTTCAACAAAATAGTTTCAATCAAAGACCATATCTTATTTAATTTTTTTTATTAGAGATTCTTTAAGAATAAATCTAGATTTAGTTAGTTTTTTATTGAACATTTCTAAAAAGCTTTGAAATGATAGAAAAAAAATATTATAATTTTAAATTCTACTCATCTTATAAAATATTATAAAAAATAATAAAATTTTAATTTTATTAATTAAAATTTTAAATTTGTTTTAGATTTTTAGAAATACTTAAAAAGAAATGTATCATATTTTATTAATATTTTTATTTCTTGTCTAAATATAATTATATATTTTCATATAATATATTAAAAATAACAAATTATTACTAAATTAATAGATTTATTTTTTATTTTTTTATTTTAATTATTTGATAGTTATATGGTATATAAAAAAAATTGAAATATTAAATTTTGAACATATTATATTTAAAAATATTAAAATTTAATTATTAGAAAATTAATTAAATTTTTATAGGCCTATTTAAAAAATAGAATATTGTATTGAATAAAATGAATGTAAAAAATTATTAAGGACATGAATCACAAGCAACCAAGGGAATCAACACACTCTTGTGTTATTAAAAAAGAATAAATAATCAATCAAAGATAATATAATATTAAAACACGAATGGCTATTATCAAAAATAAAAAGACTAGAGACTCTAGAAACATGACTAAAAATAAGAAAGGCATTGACAAGAGTGAAGAAGGTCTCATTTTTGCCTTCAAAAATATTAATTAATTAGACTTTACATGGTGATATTTTATATGACCTTCAATACATGTTCAACTTGCAAAATACATGTTTAGCTTGCATGATAAGTTTCTTATATGTACACCACATAGCCAACTTATACCGCAAATTGCTAATATATATAATACATGGCCAATTTTTTGGCCAAGTTTTTAACCTACCATTCATCTATAAATACATATAAAGTCAATTCTACATCTATAAAGCTTCTTAGAAGCTTGTCCAAAAGATATTATCAAATTTATTTATATTTATTTATTTTTACTTACTCATACTATGTAATTAATTATAAGTATTGATTGTGTTTGTAATATTATTTCTCTCCTTCCTCCTTATGTCTCCTCTAGGATCAAGTTCTATGAAGAGCAATGTCAAAGACATAAAATTAAAGAATGTAAATAAATATGTTAGTTTTTTTTTAAAAAAATATGATTATATATATATATATATAAAAGAAGAAATTGGAATAAATATTGTTAAAGACTAAAAAATAAGAGACTCTTAAAACTAGACTTGAAGCTAAAAAAGAGTTGATAAGAGTAAAGAAGGCCTCATTCTTGCCTTTATTTATAATATCTAACTAAAAGCTATATGTCAACATTCTATAAGACCTCTAATACATGTCTAATTTTCAAGGTAAGTTTCTTATATATCTAGTATATGTCTAACTTCTACTATAAGTTACCAACATGTGTAGTATGTGGCCAACTTATAGACCTAATTTTCAACCTACTAATCACCTACACATATATATATTAAGGCAAAGCTGTGTCTATTGGCTTATAAGAAGCTTCTCTATAAGTTATTAAAAATTTTATCTATTTTTATTTAATTCTATATGCTCATATTACTTAATTAATTATTAAAATAAATATGAATGTCCATAACTTTACTCCCTTCTCTCCCCCTTCTTTCTAAAAACAAGTTCTATAAGGAGTAGTGATTACATGTTGAGGTAGTCCAAGATGCAATAAATTATATTTGCCACATATTTTGATCTTTGTTCCTTTTGAAGGTAGTTGATAGGTCTTCTCAATCATTAATAGTATTTCATATCATAGTAAGAAGATTATCTTTATATTTGATCATTATTAAAGCCTTTATAACTTTTTTCAAACAAAATATTTGGAATACTATTAAGATTATTTTCTACTTTTAATAATACCACCAAAAATTGGAAGTCTTTTTGAAGGTTGTGATATCAAATGAATTGAATCTTGCCATTTATTTGAAAAAAAAACATATTATTATTGAAGATCTTCATTTCTATTATATTGTCTTAAAGCTTGTGGCAATCACAATGTCTTATTTAGGAACTCAATAAAAGATAGCTTTTGAGTTGAATTTGCTAGTTTTAGATTTTCTATATCTTCAATGCCAAAAATATAAAAAAATATAATTAAAGATAGAAGATAAGTTGCAATCTTTATTGAAATTTTTTTCTTTTATAGCAAAGAATTGCTTGACTCTTCATTTTGATTTTAATAGATTTTATCAATAAAAAGCTTTAATTCTCTTTGTTGTATATGTAAGTTTCTTAGATGGCTCCCATGTAGATTCATTGATACCATATCCATGCTAATATATAAGATATTCTACATTTTGGCACCACCTCAAATTTGAAAGATTTTTTTATTTCATGTTCTTAA